CTAAGCCACCCAGGCGCCCCTGATTGTTGTTTTTAAAAAGAGCGTATTTTAATCTGTATGTGTTTAATATGTATGTGTTGACTACACACTAAAATACACTTGTATCCCACAGAGTCGACACTGATAAAAAACAGCAGTGGTTGAGTTTATGCAACATTTTGGGGTTCTTAAAGAATAACTTCTATTAAAAGGTTAAAACGCTTTTGAATCTCCACAGGAAAGGGAAGAGCTGGCTTACTCATTATAATCATCCCTGCTAGGTCTTTATAGTCAGAAAACTAGTGCTCTGGGGTTTTTCTAGAGAGTCCCTGACAATTTGAGATCTTTCTCACGAGGAAAGTGTGAGAAAAGAAAATCTGAACAAGCCTGGCTGGCTGAACAGTGCACACACTGGTGTTGCCCAGAGCCTATGAAGAAACACATCTGAGAGGAAAACCCACCTAAATACACGAAAGCAGCCTAGTCATTCAACGACTTCCAGAATGAACTCTCCCACTTTGACAGAGTTTCCTACCACAAATCAAGTAATAATGATCATCCCACTTAGAGTCATGGATACTGACTGTGGACATTTCTCTTGCACCTTGGTATGCACAATAACCCTATGACATAGGTACTATTAGCCCCATTTTACAGATGAGGAAACTGAGGCCACTACAGGTGGATGATTTACCCAAGTTCACAAAGTAGGTGGCAGAGCAGAGATTGAAACTCAGCTCTACCCGACTCCAAACCCATGCTATGAATTCTGAATCTCTAAATGGTATTGCTTGCCAGCTTATACTAAAATAACTTCTTTTTTAAAAAAAATAGTTTTGGGGCACCTGAGTAGCTCAGACTTCAGCTCAGGTCATGATCCCGCAGTTCTTGAGTTCAAGCCCCACACGGGGCTCTGTGCTGACAGATCAGAGCCTGGAACCTGCTTCAAATTCTGTGTCTCCCACTCTGTCTGCCCCTCCCCTGAACACTCTCTCTCTCCCTCAAAAATAAACAAACATTTTTTAAAAATTTAATTAGTTTTTCTCTCTGCAAAACTGCAAAAGCTTCTTGGTGTAAGAGTCGAAAGCCACCCAAAGGCTTGTTTTTCATTACAATTAACACACAAATGCAAGTTCTAAGGTTCTCTAAAGAATGCCAGAGAAAAGTCGGCCTTGCTTTTCTGGGGGCCCCACTTATTATCCAGAATTTAGTTTCATGATACGGATGCTCAGCCCTAGCATCCTGTCACCAGAGGCCTTAAACTATCTCACGGAGAGTGGTTTTATAGAACATAGAGAACATGGGTAACAAAAAGGGGAGAAACTATGTGGCAATCTAGAATTTTGTCCTCTAGCAGCACAAAAATAAGGAAATCTATCCATACGCTCCCCTGAGCACACAGACATCCATGATTTCCCATGGCTGATGGACTTCCCATCCTTCCTCCCTCAGCCCCTCCCAGCATCCCGTTTCCATGGCAGCAAGATGGAGTATGGAGGCTCCGTGGGTTCCGTGCCTTAGGATCATCCTACACACCTCCTATCCAAGAACGGTGCAGACTAAACCCCCTCTCCCCTTCTGCTTTTGAAATGGAACACCCCGCCGCCCTAACCTGTAGCTGGGAACAGGGCGACTTGAAATTAACATTACATTTTCCATATACCCTTTTGTAACACTGTGCCGGTAGGTGATTTAGTCTGACCTAGTAGCAGAGAGGCAGAAGTATCTCACAGCAAGTTCCAGAAGGGGCAGTGACCATGTGGCCTTTGCCTTTCTTTTTACCCTTTCCTCCTTGCTGGCTGAAACAAAGATGCGATGACTGGATAGTCTAGCTTCCTTCTCGGGCCATGAGCTTATTGGCACTTTCTGGATGGTGGAGCAGAAAACTGAAAGGACCCAGGATCCTGGGCTCTGGACCTCTGACTCAAGTAAGAAACTAAAACCTTATGTATCCTTGGAGCCCCTGGGTGGCTCAGTCAGTGAAGCACCGCACTTCAGCTCAGGTCGTGATCTCATAGTTGATAAGATCGAGCCCGGCCTCTGGTGAGTTCGGGCTCTGCACCCTCTCTGCGCCTCATGGGTTTCTCTCTCCCTCTCTCTCTCTCTGCCCCTTGCTCACTTGCGTGCTTTCTCTCTCTCTCTCTCTTTCTCTCTCTTAAAAATACATACATACCTACATACATACATAAACCTTATATATTCTCTATAAAATGTTGATCCCATTTTAACTGGGCACAGTTTAAGAGGAAATTGGTGGTGCCAAAATATTCAGGTGGTTCCAAATTCAGTCGCAGGTAACTCTGAGCAGATCATCAGGTAACGTTCTCCCCTTCCTGGCTGCCTCCCTCCAACCTAAGCATCTCTATGTCAGGGGCTGCCGGTCCGCCCTCTCCCCCTCTCTTGCTTGTTTCCACTCCTGCCCAGATGGAATATACTGCCAAAACAGTGACATGGGTGACCAGCCGTTCACAGCTGGATTTCGGCTCTCACCTGGCAGCTGGCTCCATGGCAAAGCAACCCTTTAGAGACAGTCTTCTCTCACACCCGCCCCAACACTGGGGTAGTTGGGGGACAATCACAGGAGCTGATGTGCTCTGAGTGCTTACTCCATGCTGAGCTCTGATCCAAACATCTCATACGCAACAGCTTCGAGCTACTAAGCAACTTTTTAAGGTAGATCCTGTTTTTTGGACCCATTTTATAGACAAGGAACCTGAGCTCAGTAACACGGCTGGGAAGCCTCGAAGCTAGATTCAAACTCACAGTGACTTGCCTGATGGCCTGTACATCTATGTCCACTACACTACATTGCCTCTCAGGGACAGAAGGAAAATAAAGGTGATTAAAAATAATAATAGTAAAAATGCAAATAATAATAAGTACTTCTACTTCTGAAGTTGCTGTATTTGATTGGAAACTTTAATTCTGCTTTATTCTCACTACACCAGAAAATTCCTACCACTTTCCAGGCTTTGAGAAACAGGATCTCCTGCTTCAGATATGCCATCACCTACACATCCAGAGTGACTTCCCCATGCACCAGTGTCTGTGGAGCAAGTGGGAAAGCAGCAATAAAAATATTAAAAAATCACCCTCGACACCAGCAAGTGACAAAGACAGAAATGGATGCATGAAAGTGAAAGGTAACCTCAAAGATCATCTACACGTTCCAGTACTAAGACACCACTGATATTCTGCTTCCGGGGCCAAAGTTCTAGAAAACAATCTGTTTGCAACAGAGCCTAAGTTGTTGCCACTTTAAAGGGATTCAGGAAGACTTGAAACTAACATAACACTGTTACATGTTAATTATACTTCAATTAAAATAATAATAATAAAATAAAAATAAGAGGGGCACCTGGGTGGCTCAGTCGGTTAAGCATCTGACTCTTGATTTCGGCTCAGGTCATGATCCCACAGTTCATGGGTTCGAGCCCCATGTCAGGCTCTGTGCTGACAATGTGGAACCTGCTTGGGATTCTCTCTCTCCCTCTCTCTCTCTCTCTCTCTCTCTCCCCTTCCTCTACTCGTGTGTGCTCTCCCTCTCAAAATAAATAAATAAACTTTTAAAAAGTATGTAAAACTGGAAAAAAATAATAAAAGGATTTGGGAAGTTGTCTGGTGCAGAGCGTGAGACAGGGGCTCCACACCTTGGTAAGAGAGGCTGGGCAGGTCCGTAAGGCTCACTGGATGGGCCAGCTCTTCCCTAGGTCGTAGTTGAAGGAACCTGCAAGTCTTAGAAGACAGCAGTGCCACACTGAGAGCACCAAGTACAACTGACAATGCCGCCCACACTCACCAGGGATCACTGGACTTTTCCCTGGAGGGTGGAGGTGCTACAACAAAAATTAGTGCTAAGTCACGTCGCAGACTTTTGGGCGCTCAAATGCTTTCTTCTTCTGATCTAAACCAGCTCCCCAGCGCGGTCAGTTTGCCCCGAAGACACACCCCAGAAATGAGACATTTCTCACCAAACTCAACCACACATGGCTCAAAATTGGGGAGGGGGAAAAAAAACTTCCCAGAACAGAAGTTGCAAACTTGAATGCCTACCAGAGCCAGAAATTCTGGGTGAAGCGGGCCCAGCTGGGACGGACTGAGATAAAATGGTGAATGTGTGCCCCTCTCTATGAAAATGGCTCCAAAAGACTATTCCAACAAGAAAGTGGGTCCAATTCTCATCAAACTTGAAGTTGGAAATTCAAGGATGTATGTGAAATCTCCCAGTTCTAAATGTGGACATCAAATTCAAAAAATGTTGGACACCCTAAGGGCTAAACAAATCCGCAGATAATCTGACCATGGAGAGCAAATTTGCAAGGAGGGATGGCCAAGGCTACCTGACACAGGAATACAAGTACTAGGTTTAGCATCCCTGGCTAGGGTCAAGGATCTCAAACCAGGTGCAAGGACCCAGGTAACCAATCACTTGGAGTCCTTCCTGAAGGTAGCCAGAAGATGGAAAAGGCAATTTAAACCAGCGCCTGTGAGGCACCCCATCTGGAACGACCTCTTTCAGAGAAGGCGGAGGCCCAGGGGACAACCACGGGCACCTTTCTAGGGGATGCACCATATGCAGAGGCGGCAGCCACCTGCGCAGACTTCTGTGAAGCAGGGGAAGAGGCAGAACGTCTCTGTGTGAGATGAGGAAGGGCCTCTCTGAGGAAGGATCCTCCCCGAAATGGCCCCTGGAGACACTTCCTCCAGAAGCAGGACTGGCCAAGCAAGATAGGTGCAGGGGGCAGGATTGGACTCTTCCGTGGCAGGGAAGGCAGACAGGGTGCATGCTCTTGCTTGGCAGGCAGGGTCCCCCACTGCACTCAGCTTTCCCGGATGGAGCACCGCTGCCCCACATACACACACACTTTAAAAGGGACCTTTGGTGGTGATGCATTCCTAGCTTGGCAGGTCACTCCGGCAGAAGTGATTCCTTCACTCCCTGCCTAACTCAGTCACTTCTAGAAAGTCTTTTTCACCATCTCTTCCCACAATCTGGGCATCCCCAGAGCCCCACGGCCTACCTTGGCACTGGAATCCTTGCTTCCCGAAGCCCCTGCAAAGGCAGAAACAGGCATGTCAGCAAGCCCTAGGGGCCCAGCCACCAGCTAGTTCCCCCACGTCACCCCCCTTCCCCGGCCCCTTTACCCCAGGTGCAACCTCCAAGCCACAGGCGGATGCCCAAGAGTCTTCCGCCTTTGGTGGAGGGGGCAGCTGGGAGCTCGGCGGTAACCCCCACCTCCCCTCGGAAGGCAGAAGAGGGAGGCTGCGACCACCAGGTGGCGGGATGGGGGGAGCGTTTCCGTCGCAAGGAGGGTGGGGGGCAGGCGGGAGATCTGCCCACAGAGATGCCCCGGTACCTTCGGGGAGAGAGAAGAGATAAAACCGCATCCAGAGGGAGGATAAGAGAGACCCCTCGGCGGTGCTGTTCCCCAGGGGTCTGCGAAGAGAGAAAGGGCTCCCCATGTCTAGAGGGACGGGGTGAGAGCTGGGGAATAAAGATCCCCGCAGTGAAGCGAGAGGAAAACCGAGGAGCGCGAAGGCGAACCCTGGCCCGCCGGAAAGCGCAATAAGAGAGAACCCGGGGCGCCACGGCGGGAGACGCAGAAGGGGAGGAAAGGATGCCCCACGCCCGCGGGGAGATAGACAGGACTCCCGGGACACTGCCCCCGGAAAGGAGGGGAGGGGGTGCAGGCGCCTCGAGCCTGGAAGGAGGCGGGGAGACGGGGAACCCCGGGCGAGCGGGAACTCCAGGGAGGGACCGCCATCCCGCGCTCGGAGCAGCTGGAGAGCCAGCGCCCGCGACGCGGCCCCGGGGCGCTCGCGGGGCGGCAGGAGAGAAGAGCGAGCCGGAGGCACCCTGCGGCCGGCCGTCTGGGGCCGGGGAGGAGGAAGCCGCAGGACTGTGCACCCGGGCGTCCGGGGCGGGGAGCTGGGGACGCGGGGCCCGGCGGCGCTCGACCCGCCTCGGGGACACGGAAAGGGAGGCCCCCGCGCGCGGCGCTGCCCTCGGGGCCCCGGGAAGGTGCCCTGCGCCGGCGCGCTCTCACCAGATGAAGTCGGTGCAGTGGCTGCAGAAGGTGGGCTGCTTGAAGAAGCGGGCGGTGAATTTGTGGTTCTTCACCTCGTGCACGTTCTTCTGCCGGAGGGCGCCTTTGCGGGCGAAGCGCACGGTGCTCTCCTCGCCCTCGCTCGGCGGCGGCCCCGCAGCCGGGTCAGCCATCTTGCGCGCGGGGAGCGGGAGCCGAGAGGTGCCGGCCCCGGGGCCGCGGGAGCGCGGGATGCGGGCCCGGGAGGCGCGCGAGGAGGCGGCTGCTGCTGCCGCCCGGGGCCGCGGGCGCTTCCCCTGCGCCGGCTCTGGCCGCCGCGGCGCGCGGAGCTGAGGCTGTCACTCGCCCAGCTGCCACCGCTCGTCCAGCTGCGCTTGGCACCGCTGGCCCCAGCTGCGGGGGAGGGAGGCGGAGCCCCGGGCAGGCCCCGCCTCCGTCATTTGCATCGCGCCCAGGCCCCGCCCAGCGCCGCCAGCTGCTTTACATATTGGCACCCCGGAGGCTGCCGGCCTCCCAGCGAGGTGCTCACCGCCGCAGCGCTGCGGCGCGGGGACCGCAGCCTGCGATCGTCAGACCTGAGCCTCGCTCCCCTGCCCCACTCCTGGGCCTGGGATTGCATTAAGGGGATGAGCACCTTGGGTGCGCCCCCTGGAGAACCCAGAGCGGAAGGACTGACGGGGACTGGGGGTGGGAGGTGCCGAGGGTGGGCGCGACGGATTCCACCCGGCCTCTGCAGAGACTGGTACCCATCCACCCCGCCTCCATCCCATTGGTCATTCTGCACGCGTCTCCTGGAGGGATGGACTCCCGCTGTCACTCACGCGGAAAGGCCTGTGTCTCCACACACTTAACACACACATACGCACACTCTTACTGCAGAGGTAGGGGAGGAGCAATCTTATTATTATATGTGTGTGTGTGAGACAGCGTACATGTATATATATGTATATACACATCTCTCTTTTATATGTATATAATATATATTATATAATGTATATATAATATATATATAATCACCACAAAGACTTCTCTTGGCTTTGCTTGCCCAACCATTTTGAAGAGAACTCCCTACTCCCTTCCACCAAGAGACTCAGTTTCTTCAACTGTAAAATGTGGCTGATGGGGACCCATCTTCACAAATCCTGGTCATATCTGTGCACCATCTGAAAAAAAAGTCTATCCGGTTGTTGAGTTTGAATAGCAAGAGGGATTCATAGTAGTAAAATTTCTTCAGATGCTGCCACCTGCCTAAAACACCTGCATCTGGAGGCTTCTTCTATGTGTTAAAGCAGGGAATTAACAAATATTAGATAGATACTAAAGACACACATCCAACTGGGGCCCAGTCCTGGATGGAATCTCAAGAATAGAAAGTTAACCAAAAAGAATGACAATTGTCTAGATGAGTAAATAATGCAGTGTAATTTAGTTCCCTACCCATGCCCTGTGTCTCAAACATCCCCCCCACCATGCCCTACTCTCTGGGAACACAGCACTGCATTGGACTATGAACTTCTTACTAGACCTAGGCTCTGAGAGCAGGTCCTGCTCACCACTGCGTCATCAGAGCCAAACTCCGTGTCTCACACCTTCCCAGAGCCCAATAAATATTGGTTGAAAGAGTAAGTGATTACGTAAGTAAGTGAGCAAATGAAAGCTTAAAGGTCACTATCCCTTACCCTGCACCATGTCCTGTAGGTGTTCAATAATAATAAGAATCAAGTGGTAGGTAGATGTCACAGGTACTTGCATTGTCTTCCTTAGTCCTTACAACAACGACCTTGTGTAAGTCCAGAATTTTCATTATGAATAAGGGTGGCATGGCTCAGGCTGATTAAGATATACACCCAAAGTCACGCTGTTGTTGAATGGAGAGGTTAGGCCAGCCTAACTACAAAGCCTACTGGTGATAAAGGCGTGAACAGGCGTGAAAGAGAACAGGGTGGCGTTGAACCAGCTACACTGAGCTCCTGCCTAATGAAGCTCAGGTACCGCCATGATGATTTTGCCTAGAAGGTGCCAAGTGGTAAGTCATAATTAGGCTGCATGTGGAGAGCAAGGGCTGTGTTAATAGAATGGCCCTCTGCTGCATAGGAATTCAAAGGTAAGGAGGAAAAAATAGCATTCACTTTTAAGGTTGATGTGTTTTGGAAACTGGATGCTCCTGTCTATTATTAGTCCTTTAAGAGGCCCCATAACCAACCAGGGAGGCTTGGGAAAACATCCCAGGAGACATTGCTGCTGAAGGAGATTTCCTTTGAACCGATGAGCTGGAAGCTTGCAGCCCACATCCTGCCTTTTGAACGAAGTGCTCTGGATGACTTTGCTCTGTAACAACAAACAGTACCTCATGGGGCCCGGGCCTGGAGATGCAAGGGCTGGTGGATCCTAAAGAAACACTGGATCCCTGGAGGGGCTGAACCATGTGAGGATGAGGGAACACAGTTCCCATTGGACCCAGATCCCTAGGGTGGGGGTATCAAACTGGTGGCCCTTGGATGCCTTTTTATTTTCTTAGGCAGCCAAGCAAATTTTTTTTTTGTTCATATTGGGTATAGAATTTCACCTAAATATCCAGATTTTGACTTCTCTAGGAAGCAAGGTATGGTTACACGGAACCCACATTCCCTCACCCATTCATTTGCTTGTTCATTCATTTAGCAATGAACTTATTGAGCACCAGCTAAGTGCTGTTCCACACACTGTTAAATAAAATAAACAGAAGGCCCCGCCTTCATGGAGCTTACAGTCTAATAGGCAAGATAGGCTATAACCTAATAAACTAACAAATCTATACTAGGTGGTGTAGAGTTGATGCCGTAAAAGAAACAGGAAAACGTGGTAAAGAAATGAAGAGTGACAATGGCCAGGAAAATCTTTTCTCCTAAGGGGGTATCTGAGAAAAGATCTGAAAGAAGTGAGAGGGTGAGCCACAGGGGGCTATCTGAGGGTAGAGTGTTCCAGACAGGGATAACAAGCAAACACAAAGGACCTGGGGAAGGAGTGTGCTCAGCATACTGGAGAAACAGGAAAGAGGCCTCTGTGGCTGGAGTGGAGAATGGGGAGGCAAAGGGTACAAGAAGTCAAGGTCAGTAGGTAGCAGCGCATTGTAGACTTGTAAGGAGTCTGGATTTCATTCCAGGGAACAGGAAGCTATCGGACAGTTGAGAGCAGAGAAGCGGCCTGATGACTTGCTTCTTTTTATGTTTGTTGTTGTTGTTGTTGAAATGTTTATTTTTGGGAGACAGTGAGAGAAAGCATGCATGCACGTGGGGGAGGGGAAGAGAGAGAGGAAGACAGAGGATCTGAAGCAAGCTCTTTGCTGACAGCAAGAGAGCTCAAGGTAGGGCTTGAACTCACAAGTGAGTTCATGACTTGAGCCAAAGTCAGATGCTTAACCGACTGAGACACCCAGGTGCTCCCGTTATTGTTGTTGTTTTTAAAATTACCCCAGGTACTGTGTGGAAAGTAGACTCAACAGGGGATAGAATAGAAGCAAGAGAAGCAGCCGAGATCATTTGAGTAGATGAGGTAAGACATGGTGACAACACGGCTTGGTGCCACATGGACCTAAAGACTTGCTATAGATTCGCTGTGGGCCCTCCAGGTCACCAGAGCCCCACACAGTCCACTCTGCTAATAAAGGCATGAATGCCTGCCACTTGAAAGATTCAGAGGTAACAGGAGGCAGCTTGCTCTGGCCAGGAATAAAGTCCAAAGTCTCTTAAGTCCGAGCTTCAAGGTTCCTGTGGGTGCCATAACAAATTATCACAAAACCAGGTGGGCTAGAAACAACAGAAATTGATTCTTTTACAATTTTGGAGGCCAGAAGTCTGAAATCAAGATGTCAACAGGTCCCGTACTCCCTCTGGAGGCTTCAAAGAAGAATCCTTCCTTGTCTCTTCCAAATTTCAGTGGCTGTCAGGAAACCTGGGCGGCGCAGTTGGTAGAGTATCTGACTTCTGCTCAGGTCATGATCTCACAGTTCACGGGTTCAAGCCCTGCAGCTGGCCCTGTGCTGACACCTCAGAGCCTGGAGCCTATTTCATATTCTGTGTCTCCCTCTCTCTGCTCCTCCCCCACTCATGCTCTGTCTCTGTCTTTCCAAAATAAATAAATGTCAAACTTCAGTGGCTTCCAACATTCCTTGGCTTGTGGCCACATCACCCCCATCTCTGTCTCCATCTTCACATCAACTTCTGTCTCTGTGTCTCTCTTCTCCTCTTCTGTCTAATCACCTCTGTGTATGTCTTATAAGGACACAGGTCATCAGATTTAGGGCTCAGCCAGATAATCTGGGATGATCTCTTCATCTCAAAATCTTTAACTTAATTACATCTGCAAAGAACCTTTTCCAAAATGAGAAAACATTCACAGGTTCTAGGAATTAGGACATGAACACATCTTTTGAGGGGCCACCACTCAACCCACCATAGTGCATAACCCTGGACAAGTCACCTCCTCCTTCTGTGCCTTGCTTTCTTCTCTGTAAGACAGGGGTAGAGATGTAATAGTTTGCCTTCCAAAGCTTTCATTCCAAGGTTGCATTCTCCAATATTGTAGTCGCTAGCCACATATGTGTAGTGAGTATTTGGAATGTGGCGCGTCTGAATGGAGATGTGATTGTAAGTATAAAATACATCCCAGAATATTGAGTACTTAGAATGAAAAAGAACATAAAAAATTTCATAAATAACTTTTATCTTCATTGCATGTTGAAATTGTAACATTTTGGATATATTGAGCTAAAGCAGATTTCTAAAGTTAATTTCACCTGTTTCTTTTTACTTTTTTAATGTGGCTACTAGAAAATACAAAACTATGTATATGGCTCGCATTATATTTCTTTAGACAGCTCTCTTCTAAAGAACAGACTTTAAATGATATTAAATGAATTCATTGGTAAAACTGGGTAATATAAGAAAAAGCTCATCTCTACTCTACATGGCATCAGCAGTGAGGGCTTGACTGGAGGATGAAGAATCTGCCTTTGAGATGCTCACTCACATACATGCCTGATAAGTTGGTGCTGGCTGTCAGTGAGGGCTCACTCGGGGCTTTGAACCAGGGCCTTGATTCCTCTTAGTGTGGGCCTCTCCATGGCAGCTTGAGCTTCCTCATAGCATGGTGGTTGGATTCCAAGAGCAAGTGTTCTAAGAGATAAGAAGTGGAAGATAACATTTCTTCAAAGCCTGACCTGGAAACTTGTACAGTGTCATTTCTGACATATGTTAAAGGTGAAGCAATCACAGAGCCTATATTCTTGTTTCCTTAAAAAGACCCCCATGTCTCACAGCACCTGGGTGACTCAATTGGTTAAGTGCCTGGCTCTTGATTATTTCTCAGGTCATGATCTATTAGTTTGT